CAAATAAGACAAAATGCAATCATGACTCAAAACTTAAAAAATACAGAGGTTAGCTAGTACGAAAAGTCATAATGTCTTCAAACTTCCCAATCAGTCACTTATAAACCTATTTTTACCGAAATCAATAGTGTATTTAATCAGTGGACACTTGCTTTCTGCTGAAGACGTCCAGGGCTTCGACCAGCCGCGACTGGTTGAAATAGGTCTCGATCGGATCCAGGCACATGATGGAAGTCACCACGTGGAACGTGATGAGCAACGGGTCCGGAAAACGTATTGTCGGCATGATGAGATCTTTTGCCGAGCTTGGTCTCACTGTTGTTACTGAAGAGACACGTGTCCAAACTCGGTTGTCGAGAAAAGAAAATTTACTGCTGACGAAAGGATTGAAAACAGGTTCAAGTCTCCGGCAAAGATGTCGATATTTTACGCTCTGAATGAAGGAGAATTCAAGACTGTACACGCGCCACACATTCAACACTGCGTAACAATCGTTGTTTTGTTGCCGTCACGTGACGTATGCGTCACTCCAACGTTACAACGCACGCGTCAAAAACTTTGTTGTTGTCTGTGTGACGCCATAAGAGAGGGCGCTGTACTCACGTCGGACTTCGGGCGCGCTTTAAATTTGTAACTTGGAGAAGAGCACGTGCTGTCAAACATAAACAAAATAGGCATGCCGTAATATTGAACACGCTGTGTAGGTTTCGTTTCCACAGTGTTGAATTGTCTACCACCGAGGTCACATCTATCGATCTATCGACATCTACTTCCGTTTTCATCTCTTCGTCAGCAGTAAATTGTCTTTTCTCGACAACCGAGTTTGGACACGTGTCTCTTCAGTAACAACAGTGAGACCAAGCTCGGCAAAAGATCTCATCATGCCGACAATTCGTTTTCCGGACCCGTTGCTCATCACGTTCCACGTGGTGACTTCCATCATGTGTCTGGATCCGATCGAGACCTATTTCAACCAGTCGCGGCTGGTCGAAGCCCTGGACGTCTTCAGCAGAAAGCAAGTGTCCACTGATTAAATACACCATTGATTTCGGCAAAAATAGGTTTATAAGTGACTGATTGGGAAGTTTGAAGACATTATGACTTTTCGTAATAGCTAACCTCTGTATTTTTTAAGTTTTGAGTCATGATTGCATTTTGTCTTAATT